TGTATTGTTTAAAAGTTGGGTCCGAAAAAATCATATCTAGCATTTTTGATGCCTTCAAAAATAATTACCCATATTTAAAAAAAAATCAACTATACAAATTTATATCCAGTATAAATTATTATTTTTTTTTAAAAGCTAAGTGCAACAATATATGTGTGGTTTTATTAATCATTAAATAATAATCATTACATAAACAGTTTGCTAACTATTGTTAATTAATTCAATATAAATTTATTAAATAAATTTTTGATAAAAAATAATATAAATATTATAAATATTTAATTTGAATGTTATGTTAATATCAATAATATTAAATTTAATAAAAACCCAATAATAACTATCATTGTTTTTATAGTAAAACACAATAAGTTCAAATTACTTAATATATTTAATCTTTGTAAAAAAAAAAAATTATAAAAAAATATATAATAAAATTTTTGAAATAGTACAATATTATAAAATTGCAAATATGAGTTTTATATAAAAGTATTATTTGAATGATGAATAATTTATAATTGAAAAAGACTTATGGGTCTATAGCACAGTGGTAATGCTCCATAGGTCACCAGGAAAAGGTCTAGAGTTCAAACCCACCTGGTTACAAAAATTTATCACCTCCATGATTAGTTGACTGGTTTCCAATTCATGTCGTATCCAATCAGCTGACAATCAATCTCCAAATTTAGTTAGGCTGCATAAAGATGAGACCTTTGGTCTTCCTGATAATCGCAGGCTGAAAACAGGTTGAAGCAAAGAAGGTTGCATAAGAAAAGACTTCTGGTCTAACTCCGGTATAAGCTCACAAAAACTCTAACCCAAATTGGTAACAGCAGACTTCATCACATAAGAATATCCTAGTTTGGGACTATTCCAATTTGGCACTTGCTTAAAAGAAGGTTATATTTGCAATATAATTGAAAGCCGCAGGTAATGACAAAGAGTGATTTATCTTCTTCAAGATTCTGGGCAAAAAAATATATACGGGGATATCTGAGTGTTTTCTAACAATACCCCTAAAAAGTAATATTATACCTCTTCCATGACAGATACAGTTGAGACAGAATCTATATTAGATTAAATAGTTTAAAAACTAGTGATAGGATTTCTATCCCTTAAAGATCCCATCCAGGATACGGATTCACCTCTGTGGTATCAATTGATACACTGGATAAGTCTATAGGTATAGAGCAAAGTTAACTTAAATAGACCTAAGTATATATATAATTAGATATAAACTACTCAATAAAAACGCACATGCACAAAGCATCTTTCACCTGAAAAATAATAATAATAATAATAATTTATAATTGAAAAATATTTTTAAATAATAAGAATTTTTAGAATAATATATAAAAATCTAATTTGACAAATGATTAATATATATAATATAAATGACCTACCCGGTTATAGTCCAGTGGGCTAAGGCAGGGTAGGGCTAACCTATGAACTACGGTTCAACTCCAACTGGGGGCAATTCACATATCCCAAACGGGACTTTGTGTCACTGCTTCTGTAACTCGTGATAGAGAGCAATTTGGATTGTTCCAGCGATCAAGGAGCCTTATGGGTAGACTACACCCCATAGATCAAAAGATAGATTATCTGATTGGTAAAACTTTCTAATCAAGTATTGTCCAGAAAATATCTCCAAAAGGAGGAAGAAGTTTTATGGGATCTTTCCAGTAATGGAAGGAAAGGTACAGACGGCTAAAAGCATTAGTCATACAACTATCAGTAAGAGTCTCACATGTCCGTTAGTAGCGAGGATCTGGTCGGGATTGTAGAAGGTCGCTTGTATCATGGGATGTCTATCCTAAGGGGTACATTTGCAACGGTTGACTGCATGCCCCCATAAATTGTAACCTCCTGCATGTGTTGCTAGGTCAGATTAGGAAGGGTGAGGCTGGGTCCGATTCCCAGGCGAATTTGGTGTACTGGTGTACCCTCATTCCATCAATGATATCTCACTGACTAAACTCTAATAAGTCTTGGCTAAACTGAACGGTTGAAATACTGTAGTGGTGGCTGCAGGTAATAATTTATCCTGGCATGATAGCAAAGGTCTGCTTGCCTTGAAATAGCAACTTTTCACCCCCACCGTTTATACTTAGAGGCTTAGGCCTAAGACGAGTAATTAGGACCGACGTCATCACCCTTGTATCCTGGAGAAACACCAGGAGACTAGTAGGTGATAAAAAAGGTATCTGAGCTGATAGCAAGGGTTAAAATATATATATATATATATATAGTATAAATTAATAGAAATAAATAAAAAATTATATAAAAATGAATTTTGAATAAAGTATTAATAAAAAAAAAATTAACTATAAATAATTTTGATTTTTATTAAAAATTGAAATAAAAACAAATCAATTATTTTAAAACAATAATTAGATAACAATAATATGTACAATTAACATAGTTATAACTTTTGCAAAACTTTTTACTTATGTTTTTATTCTTTTGAATATTATCAATAATTAAATAATATTTGAAAAAAAATAAATTTATTTATTTATATATTTATAAATAATTATGAAATATGATTAGTTAATTAATTGAATAAAATTATAAAGACAAGATATACTTCTAATATAAAAAATGTGAGATTACAAAACATATCTTTAGCAAATCTTACAAAGACAAGATTAAAATTACATACATTCAAGTGCTAAAAGAAGAAATATTCAGCAGAATAAAAAAACAAGAAAAAATAAGCAACTGGAGAGAACAACTTGTACATATTATAAATTATTTAGAAAGAACTATTAAATATATAATCAAAGGCATCTATAAAAAAGATCTAATTAAGTTGATGGAACAAATCAGTAGAAGTAAACTCAAAAATATACTAAGAGCAGTTATAAACTACATAATAGAAAAGCTTTGTAAACTCTAAAATCACAAATGTATCAGATTTTAACAATAGAAAGAAGAGAAAAATATAATTAGAAAAGAAAAAAGAAAAAAAAGAAAGAAACAACAAGTTGATACCTAATTCAAGGATACAATGCAATACAGACTGCTATCAAAGAGAATGGAGGAAGCAAAAAGGTTGTAGGAAAAATTAATAAAAAACTGGTTAAATTGGAAAAACAATATAATCAATTTTTATTTTTATTACTTATATAATAACAATACTAATTGAATCTTGGCATGTTAGTCTTGATACATGCCAAAAGGTAAGTTAATAGCAACAAGCTGATATAAAGTACACTGATATAGCACAACATGCATCTAGAATAGTTTATACAGTAGATAGTAAGTCTTGTAATAAGAAATACACATATAAATTAAATAAAGTATGTTGAGCAAGGCCTTATTAGATGAATAAAAAAAAAAAATCAATTAGATGAAATAATGATGATTTTAACCAATTATTCAAATCATTCAAATATAAAAATTACAAAGTAACAAAGATTTTGTTTTGAAAAAAAGGATCTTAATTAAGAAAAAAAGGTGCCATGAATTATAACAAATTCATAATTTGATTAATAGGTATCATTATTAGCTGGTCTATTAATTAATCATGTCAAAATTATAAGATCCTTTTTTTATCTAAGTTCAAATCTTCAAGGAACAAGCTTGTAAAACGCTGACTTAACCACATTTCAGATTTCAGATATTCTTACATAATAAGTCAAAAGAGTTCGGGTTATCAATTGCATCGAAAAGTATATATCAAAAACATGTAGGAGCTGTAAACTTGTAAAAAATGATCTTGATGAATCAAAAACATTCAAATGTGATTCATGCAAGGTGAAGATAGATCGGGATGAGAATGCCATCAGGAAAATATTTAATGGAAGACCTGACTTTGAAACTTGAACCCATATGAGATACGATACGCATAGTAAAGACCAACTTTATTTATTATATTCAAGGGCAAACCTTAATTCCAATGAATATTATAACAAAAAAGACGTAACAAGTGATTACAGATTAAAATATTATTAATTCGCATGTATTTTTACGTATGGAATTTCAAAATGTAATGTATTTCAATAAATGAAGATTTGGTGTCAGATTCAGTCACTAACTATTGGTGATCAAATCTAGGAATTAAAATTTTTTGCTGCAGGAGATGCGGGCTCAATTTACATGACCCTTGACTTTATTAATCATGAATCGAACGTCTCATCAACCCATTCCATCCGATAGACTTTCTATCGACCATTTTGGCGCGTGGTCTATGGTATAATCATCCTTCAGGCCTACACGGAATCTTTCAACTCCAGCCCAAGCGATCATTGCACCATTGTCGGTGCATAAGCGAGGAGGTGGACATATCAAGGGAAGCTCAAATTGGTCATTAGCCAATTTCTCTAAACTAAGAAACAGTGTGATTACCCTAATTTTAGGCAAAAGATTCACGCGTCAGAAAGTCATACGCGTACCTCGCGCGGATACTTTTGTTACTTGCCACTCCACCACTAATCACCAGAGCATTCAAGCGAATTTCTTTCACCCTGCACCAATCAAACGCCAACTCCAATTTGTCGATTAGGTGACGGATTGCAGTCTGTTGAAAAGTTGCCGCCAAATTTTTTCTTACTTTTTCGTCTTCCAAATCTAATTGCTCTCTTTCGATTAGATCTCTTATGGAAGTTTTTAATCCGCTAAAGCTTAGGTTCATCTCGTTTTTCCTCCTCGGATCTTTTCTCATTGGTATCGGAACTCGGTAATTGTCGGAGGTACCATCCAATGCGAATTGTTCCAATGCAGCACCCGGACCACCACCTTGGCCTTTTAACCAAGGGATTTTAAGCAATCGAGCAGTCTTATCATAGGCATCACCTATTGAATCATCTAATGTTGTGCCAAGTTGTGTGTGCTTGTTTACTCCGTGCGTGACTAGGATTAGAGTGTGCCCACCAGAAATCAAGAGGGTTAAATAGGGGAAGGGTATTAGTTCGGTATGGGTTAGGCGGGCTGTTAGGGCGTGAGCTTCCTAACGATTTTCGTTCATTTGGTAAATAAAAAAAATAGATGTCTTGAAAAACCTATCAGGTGCATTAACTACAATTAAATACGTGCCATGTGATGAACGCCAATTAATGGTTTCCTAATATAAATGTTCATCGAAACATTTTCACTTGGAACATAAAAATCTGTTGGTCATCATAAATAAAGAACCCTACCGCAACACGGCTGCTAGAGTTTTCGCAGCGCTTAAGCCGATCGCCAAACATCCAGGTAAACCTGGACCTCTCGTAACCGCAATTACATCAATATCCTTGACGATATCCAAGCTTTCTTTAGAAAGAGCGTCACACACAACTTCAGGCAAGTTTCTCTGATGACTCATCATCGCTACATTTGGGATAATACCACCTGCCGGTTCGTGAAGATTATGTTGAAATCGAATTGACTCGGCTAATATTTGTCGCGAAGAATTTACTATGGCGACCGCCGTGTCGTCACATGAGGTTTCTATTCCCAGGACGTTGAAGTGAGAGGTGGACGGCACGTTGGTACTGTGCGTGCGAATTTGGCGAGCGTACAATAGTGTCGTGGTGATCTTTGAGAATTGCCGAAGAGACATTACTTGGTCAGAGAGTAAATTACCAACTCGTAAATCATTTCTCGATAAAGTCACGGGATTTTCATTTCGTATTAGGAAATTTTTTTTATTTCAAGATTTTTTATTTTTGATTACCACAAAATATTCCAAAATTATTTTTTTTTGTGAAATGATGATAAATAAAATAAAGTGCAAAAATATCAATTATGAGTAGGGGTTGTTTGTAATAAAATGAAGTAATTTTTCTTTCCAAAGGGAAAGGGATAATTTGATTTACACATTACAAGTAGTATAATAGAAGCAAGATATTAGAAATATTAAAGTGGATTATTTCTTCATAATATTTAAGATAAAGAACCTGCATGATTTGTCATAAGAGATGATCCATAAATTTTCACGCATTAAAATAAAATGTGACTAGTTAACATATGAAGGGCATAGAACCATATCGAACAATGAAGAGCCTTTATGAAAAGAAATGAGATGCAAAGTTAAACATATCATACACAAACTCTATTTTGGAGTGTCCTCGTGATAGAAGTATGTATAAAAGAAAAAAACAAGAAAGTACCACGGGAACACTATTGAAAAGTCCGATTTTTGAATAAATACAAATTCTATGATCATGATTATGACCATGATCATATATCAACAACATCAACATCACCAACTCACGATGGTAACTCACGGAATGAGTTCCCTTTTGATCCACACAGAGTGTTTCATGAATGAGACATGAATGAGATGACGGGACTTCAAATGGCATCTCAGATTTATCGTGACGATCTTGATATTGCAAACACGCCTATAATCGCAATCGCAAGCGTAAGAAGGGCGCCAGGTAGTATCAAATCTTGTGGAATCGGAAGGTGGTAATCGTCATTTCTACCGCGCCTCCTGGTGCTTTTCCTTCTACTATGTATCTCATCCTCATCATCGTCATCGTTCCTGTTTTGCCGTGCTTTTGATGATTTCTTTTCATGAATTTCCTGAATGTGTAAAATCACACGCGTCGCACCCTGGCGCTGGGCCATTGTTACAGCATCAATGACATCATCGTCAGTCGACATTGCCACATAGTCTTCATCTTCATCTACATACGAGATCGCGAAATCTTTAACAGTGGAAGGAAGTTTTGATGCCACGGTAACGCGTATATTTTCAAATGTCGTGTAATTGACGGTGAAGCGATGTGATTTTCCATCCGGTGCCTTGAATTTGAAAGTGAAATGGTTCTCCTCGTGTCCCCTGGGATAGGAAGCCATTGAACCATCGTCCATAACCGAAGCAGACTCACTGGGATGAATTTCAGGGACCGGCGAGATGATTCCAGAGTGATGCATACGTGAATGTGGTGAGGGTGGAATATTTGAAGCACTTTGTGACGGCGCTATCGAATCGGAATGAACGGACTCGTTGTCACCGTCATTAGCAAAGGAATTCCAGAATCTATTCCACATGGGGCCACCAGCTTCATTACCATTTTCCTGATGTTGCATGGTGTATACCTGTGCACAAGAACCGAACGACCAATTTGATTAGTACAAAAAGGTTAATAAATAAAATGAACACAGACCAGAGATAAATATGAATTTATATTCACGTGATATATCATTAAATGTACCTGTTCCATGGTGGCATACGTCAATTTCAGAACGTCGACCATCCCCACGATGCTACCTTCATCAACCACTGGTAGATTAAGGTAGTGACCATCTACAGAAGATATGAAAAGAAAAAAAAACAGATATATACATAGATGTGTTAATGTCTGATAAAACAGGAGATGAAAAGTGATATGAAGAAGCATTTCTATCTCTTGGATGATATTGTGTCAATTTAATCTTCTCCTATGGGATATCAAGATTTCTGCATCTTTTTGGAAACTCCAAAGTCGACTCAACCTTGTTTTATTAATAGGAGGAGAAAGAGATCGATTGGGAAAAGAAGAAGGGGGAAATAGTCATTTACTCACCATACATCTTTTTTAATGCATCTAATATACTTGTATGTGGGGGAGCAGTATCAGGGTGGGGCGTCATAACCTTAGAAACGCTGCATGTTGAAGGTTCCAAACCGGCAGCGATGACTCTCAATACAATGTCCTTGCTTGTGAATATACCAGCGATCGCGTTATGCTCCATAACCAAGACTGCGGTGGTGTGATATTCTCTCATTAGACGTGCAGCATCCCTCACGCTCGTCTTGACTCCGATCTCAGCTGGCATCGAACCGTCTAAAACGGTGGTTAGATCTGGGCACGCCATTTTTTCACGCAGCACATTCAAATATTGTTGAATCGGTGTTGGTTGATTCGACCATTCCCTTTCTACTCCCTCAAGAGCATCATAGAGTTTTTTTGATGATCCGTATGCGCGTTCCATCTTGTCCAATGCCTCATACAAGCATTTTGTTATATCCAATAAACCAACGACATCACCTTCCTCGTTGCATACGGGCTAAAAATGAAGGGTGTGAGGTTAAACAAAATGATTATGCTGTCAATCAATGAGAGATTGATCATTAGATGAAAAAGTAGGACTTACAAGATGCCTAAAGCTACGAGCGACCATCGTGTTGAGAGCGTCAGTTGCAGACGTATCGCTCTTTACACACATTGGATTCCTTGTCATGATCGTTGCGACAGTTGTCTTTCTTGCGTCTAGACCTTCGCCCACAACCCTGAAAGCCAAATCTTTTGCCGTGAAAATACCAGACAAATGTTCATCCTCATCTATTACGAGCACGCAGTCTGCACGCTTTGCTGCCATAAGTTGTGATGCTTCAACGACCAAAGTATTTTCTCTAACGGTAAGAGCTGGGGAAGGTCTTAAGGAGGTGACGGTTCCGTTCGTGGTTTTCTGTGGCTGCCTTTGTGAGGTCCTGCGAGTGGAGGAATTCTTTCTTGACAGGTCTTGTTCAGTCTTCCTGCGAATGGCCTGAAGGCAAAAAAGCAAGCAAGGATAAAGCAAGGCGAATCATTTTAGAACTATGTAGAAATAATATTCTTTGGAGGTCTAACACACACCATCTCTCATTGGAGAACTAAATCAAATGACTACTAACCTCATTGGAGCCGTTATTGTAACCTTGTAGTGGACGAGTTGGGGAAGAAGTCTTCCTGGATCTAAACGTTGATGACATTCTGTCGGCGGGTGGCGATCTGTTGCGATAGGCAAGGAATGTTTTTAGTTAAAAAAAAAAAAAAAAAGAAAAAAATTTTTTTTTTTTTAAGAAATTGTTCAAAAATATTATATTTTTTTTTTTTGCAGTTGGTATATATATGATATAAATAAAATAAATATATCACGGTGATATACTTTTCCAAAACCCGTCAAAATCATAAATCATATTTTGTCATCACAACAATAAAAACAGCTCGTGCCTCCTTACCGTTTCCTGATAACAGAGGGATTTCCCATTTTTCTTTTCTTGCCCAACGATATGAGAAAAATGTGTGTTATATATAAGGATGGTTTATTGAATCACCTAACCCTGCAGGCTGATATTTAAGTACGTGGGCTGGGCTTGTAAAAATATTTACATCCTAGAAAGACAATAAAATTACAGAAGAATCCCTTTGTTGCTTTCTTTACTTCGTCTTTATTACCATTACTTCATACTGCATATTTTCCCCTCCTTCTGATGGGACACTAGTATTTCATAATTTCAATTATTTGCGTTAAGAGTACTCAAAATATGAGTGAGTCACTGGTTCAATGTATAACCATCGGGTATCAACGGCGGTTTTAGATAAGGTAGACAAATAGAAGTTTAGCACATAAGAACCGGAAGTAGCCGGAATCAATGCGTTTAACTCCGGTAACACAACGTGCATATAAAATCATGGATTGTTCCGATTCTCACGAAAATGGATATCCACGTGTTGACAAAATTGTGCCAACGTGAGAAACTATTCCATCTAAACTATTTAGATAAATATATCGGAGATCCATCAAGCAAGACAATCAACGGATGAGATGAGATGGAACAAACAATTTTGCAATAAGGTTTATCAAGAAGACTAATTAGTCTCACTTCAAGCTTCGCCTGGAAGGTGTTTAAATTGCGAAAGTAAAAACAGATGTGCGAGCCGTTTATGCATAAAGTGAGAGCGCGAGACATCGGTGGAATCCGTTATCATATGATTCCTTATTGTGTGTTTAAGTATGTACATCTTTAACATAACAATAAACATAGATATTACTGGAAAGAATTTATTGATAGAAAATATGAAAATATTAAAAATTAAAATTATGAAATCACCTTCGAAAATTGCCTTGTATAAGTTTGTTTATTCTACTTTAAATTTTACTGTGTTACAAATGTTTTTGGTTACACGACGTCGATACTCAATCCCGAAAATGGCCAATACAATATCCGCACAATACAGAATTCCCTGTCGTAGTTGCCAATTTGGGTAAATGCAAAGGGGAACCCCTGAACTTAATAATTCAATCATCTTTTCTCATTTGGCTAACATTAAAACGAGACAATAGGAATTTGCAGGTCCGCCATATTACAATATTACCAATATTACATACGGATCAAAATTTTGCCATGCTCTCTGAAGATTATAACTCGAGATTAATTGAATTCGATTTCGAAGACATTGATGCTGCTAGAAATATAGGCGTATTCAGATAATTCCTTTGCAGGTTTGGCGAAATTTATCAATGTAATGAATGATTGATTCATCTATTATCTGCACAGAGTAAAATTACAATTATTGAATGACAATTAATTAATTAAACCTGGTATCAGAAAAGAATACTGTATGTTCACACAGCTATGTTTAAATTAAAAGTACAATTTACAAAAAAAAAAAAACGAAATTAGAGGTTACATCCATTATTCAGATTGTGGCTCATACTGTAGGATGGATAATCGTGAATCAATCACGATCATTAAAATCTGCATTCTAACTGGAAAACATCGTCGTCATCCAACAGGGTGATATATCAATCCCAAATTGATTAAAAAATTCGTGAATCTCCGCTTCCTTTGCTTTGGCTAAATTCTCTACTTGCTCCATGAACTTTATGTCCGGATAGTAAGATTGATTATGGTGAGAAAAGCGAAAATGGTAAAAGTAAGGATAGCGTTTTTCAACTCCAAAATAATCTCGGTATAGTCCCATGGGTGACACGTAGTATTGTTTTTTGGGAAATTTTTCCTTGGGATCCGTGTCGACTTGATTCTCGGGGTTAAGAATAAACGGGATTGAAAATTTTACGACCGGAGTGGTCGGTGTTGTGCTAGCGGAATATCGTTCGATCTTTGGTTTTTTATTTAAATTTTCTCGTTTCTCCTCGTCCTCTCGTAGTCTCCGTTTTCCATTTCGGTTCAATTCATTTTCCTCACAACCTGAACCATCCTCAAGCCTCATCTTCATCAATTTTCGAACTTTGGCATCTCGTCTTCTCAAAATTTCCTTTTCGATCTCATCTAGCTTTTCGTAATCACATGAGGTAGATTGATTGCCAACTGCCTTCTTTTGCAAAAGTAAATCATCGATTTCTTCCTCGTATCCATTCTCATATGGCTCGAGCATTTCCACCAAGGGACAATGAACTCCGTCTGGCCTTCGGATACCGAGCGCGTCATCTTCGTCAAAATCCTCCGTTATGTTCTGAGTTGAGGGTGCGAATGAGTCTTTTAGTTTTGCTTCATACGCATTTAAAATAGTATTGCGTTGTTGTGGTGATAATGATGAAAGATCGTAGCCATAGAAAAACACCAATTCTAGCCTCATAATCGATGTGATTTTTGACAAGACAATATTGTAATGTACGAAAAATGGATTGCAATTGATGTTAGAAGAGATTCTTGTACGTATTTCTTCTCGACGAGCGAATTCTCGATCCACGATAAAAAAAATTACTCAAGATTTGGCAAGAATTTGTGCTATGCGTAACGAAGGCGCGTTATGTAAAGTTGTCGAAACGTGAAGAAAAATATCGAGATTTATAAAAGATGATTTAAAGTATATATAGAATTGTTGGTAGTAAAACAAGAGACTGCGGGTGCTAATATTTCTTATGGCGAAAAACAATACCTATCGTGCATCATTTCATATTACGTTTAGTATTTGTTGCATTGTTCATAGATTTAAGCAAATGCATATCCAATTCTTAGTTTGACACAATGCCAGCTCCCAATAATCCGTCGGTGTTATTAAGATGTACCAATTATTGATTGCATAGGAGGAATTTATAGATTGAACCAATACCACCCACACAATTTCTTAGGAGACACCACAGATAATTTCAAAATTTCCTCGTATAGTCATAAAGTTTTCGACTCTGGTTTTTACTTGAAAGAAAAGTTTCGAAGACTTTGTGTTTCAAAATACACATGCGACTGTATTTCATAATTGCCTTTACCGTTTCCAAAGAATTCCGGCAAATCCAAAGAGAACATACATCAAAGTGCGCTAAATTTCAAAATTCCACATTGAAGGAATATCCCGTTTTAAGATAAAATCCCCGAAAAAAGTAGTTGAATATTTAACAAACATGATTATGAAAATAATCTTAAAATAGAATAAAATTAAATTAAAATTAAATTAAATAGTTACTTTAATTACAAAAAAAATAATAAATCTTTTTTTTTTTGCTATAAAAAATTGGTGTTATGAAAGCATGATATAATAGTAAGCTTATTATAACCAAGCAATAATATTTTTTTTTAAAAAAAAAATTTTTTTAATTATAAATATATTTATTTCTTATTTATTAAGAAATAAATGTTATTATAACATATCATTCACGTGAGCGCTTCGGGCTTCATCAAGATTCCAGGAGTCGAGTCGAATTTAAACGGACTTCCAATTAAAACCAATATGTATGCAGTATTTGTGAGAATCGAATTTCCTATATTAAACTATTTCTAACCCTAAAAACGCGACTTTTTGGGCAAGGCGAACGCGTTTTCTCAAGTTTGCTATTTTTAAAAAGATAGTATGTACTTATGATATACTTTCTTTATTTGAAACGCGATAACTATAACCTCAACTTATTTTAATTCGATGTAGCTTTCGCATCATAAATCGACTCTCGACTCGAGATAAAGTTTTTTCACTTACGACAAACCGTAGATTTGGGTTCCAATCTCTCTATATACCATTTTTAAACACAAAGATGACGCGTAGCGGAGCCATTTACAGAGATTTGATTCAGTCCCTTAATTTAGTGAAAGACGAAAATAGAATAAAGAAAAAAGCTATTGAAATTTCAAGCCAAATGGATCTAAAGATCGGAAGTGCCACAATGTTGAAGAATTGGTCGACTTGTAAACCCATCTATGCCATTCAGATAGCATGTGAAATGTAATAAATAAAATCTTTGGTGCTCTTGCCCATATTCTGTGACGGACTAACTGTTCTCGTTTTAAAACAAAGGTTACGCGTTCAATTTGATCGAAGATGTCTATTGAAGTCAGCAAATACCACGGAACAAGATTATTATTCTTCTCTCTCATATATAAAAAAAGCTCTCGGAATTTCTTCCCTGATAGATTTTGAATCTTTAGCATCAAGATTTGGTTGTCCCAAACTTATCCCATATGCGGAGAATATGCTAGAAATTTTCAAAGAAGAATGGTGTAAGGAATTAAGTGCTGCCAGTAAACGGGGAATTGACTGGAATGGTGATATCTATAAAATTGCTGTATTTTGGTGTTGCTGCAAAAACGTCGGGGTGAGTAGCAAGATACAAGATTGTGTTAGTAATATTTCAAAATGTCTAATAACAATAATACATTATCAACGTCATTGAACTGAAGGGACAAGATCGAGTTAGTCAAGACCAATTAATCGGCTTACAAGATTTTTCTACTTCTCGCACAGAATTCCAACGTACTGTGAAACTTGTTGAAAAATATTGCAAGACTTACATCAGTGAACTCAAATCTCAAATTAAAAAGGGCGACCTCACTATTACTTTCATAAAATCGTCTCCTTCAAAACGTAAATATGTGAATGATGATTATGATTATGAAACAGGAAAAGAACGATTAAAGAAATGTGTTGTCACTCAAGAGGATACCGATGACGAATTATTGGACATAATTGAAACGAGGGTATGTATTTATATTTGACTCGATGAGATAAACTTGACTTTCTAACTAAATTTATATTATATTACTTTAGAATAAGGGAAGTTATACGGAAACAAAGTTGTATAAAGATTATCTTGTATGGCGCAAGGAAATTTTCGGGAAAATCGAAGCTCAACTCAAAATGATGATGATAGATGAACAGGATTGAATTACTTGTGAATTTGCTATTTGGAGAAACTTTACAAACAATTTTCCATCAATTAAGACGCATGTATAAATACAAGTAGCATTTTAATTAGGTGGATATTTATTGTCATTTTAAAATTCTAGATTATTCGTATACATGAAATTGGGTATTATAGAGTTTAATCAAACAATACATAATAATGATATAGAGTGTTGCTTTATTAGTAAAAAAACATGCAACTTTATAATAAAATGATTTGATTCTATTTTAGCAAGCTATTAATATATCTGATATTTGTCTCAAACTAACAAAATGGTATTATAAATCCTAGCAATAGAGTTTTTATTTTTAAAAAATTAAAAACTATGTATAGATTGTGCCTATATTTATATTACTTTATAATTTATCTGATAAAAGAGCAATTAATATTACCCTATCTATTTTATAATTGATTATTTAAATCAAATCAAAATAAAAATTTGTGAGATTTTGTTAATAAAAATTTAAATATAATATATTTTTTTACTTTTTTACTATATTAAAATAAAGTTCTCCATTAAAAAATACAGATCTTGACGTCAAAATCAGATGTAACACAAGCACTAAATAATGCGTCGTTTTCTCATCTTTTTAGAAAAAAATGTC